TGTCTAATGTGTACCAAAAGGAAGATTTTGCCCACACACATACACAATAAAACACTTGTCATAAATAAGCGGGACGCCTCCTGAAACTGTGAGCTTTGCGTTACTGGGTGTGTGAAAGCAGATGAGTGATATTAATTTAAGGCATGTTTGTAGCATGTGTACTAACAGGTGCTTTGCTAAAGAAGTAACTGAAATAAATCCAGAAGATCCTTAAGTAATTCCCCATCTATGGTGTAAGATCATCAGATGGTGTGAAGATTTTGTTTGATTTTGTTGTTGTTGTTGTTGTTCAATTCTCTTACACATTTCCATTATGCAAATGATGCGACAAGTACTTTCAGTCCTGTTACCTACATAGAAGGTTCAAATGAAGTCCTAAGTTCTTGGCTTTAGTCTTCTTAAGCTGGTGACATTGATTTGAGGAACAGATGAGTCTCGTGAACATTCAGAACGTTTGTAGCAGAAGAAAGAAAACATGTGAATTCTAAGGAATTCAAGAGGCTGTTGCAGGAGGGATGGTCAGAATCAGCTTGAAGGTGGAATCTGTTTGAGGACTTTACTCTGAAGGACAAAGAGAGTCTCAGGACTTGCAGGCAGGGAAACATTTTGACCTAGCTTGTACTCAAACCTCATCATTGGACCTGTTCTGTTGAGAATCGGCAGGTGGCCCAAGGTAAAGTTCATCATCCATGGCTCATTATCAGAACTCTGAAGACAATGCAGAGTGGGCATAGATCTCTAGGACTTGGAAGCGGCAGATGGTTTCAATTCATGTACTGACCATGTATTTTTTTCTCCTCATGATGTTATTTAAAATGATTAAAATAAAGCCTTGACTTAGCTCTCCAAATATTTATTTCCAAAGAGGGAGAAGATTCGGGAATGGATGACCATTTTCTGCAAAGAAGCACATGCTCTCATTTGCAAAATAAGCAGCTATGGGCAGGAAGGAGATAAAAGGAATATTAATGGCTTATTCAGGGGTGCATGAGGGATGGGATTATATTTTCCAGTGTTTTATGATTTTTCCCATAGTATATTTGACCAACTTTTGCAAAATAATAAGATCACATCGCGTATGAACAGCCGGAAGTTGATTGGGAAAGAAAATTATGTTCTCTGACGATGGCCGTCCTATGAGACACTGTGACATTTTTAACCTCAATTGCTAGTGTCCATTCATATGGGCAAAGATAAAATTGGATTGAATTTTCTCATTCTTGCTTTTGTCTTAATAATATATGTTGAACAGTTTGATCATACCAGAATTTGATGTATAATTAGCTATCTCTTTTTTTCCCCCTGATGAACAGGGCTTATTTCAGAATTTTACAGAATTAATGCAAGTTGTGGCACCATGTCTGTGGATCATTTGTACTGCTTTATAAAAGTCATAGGGCATAGAACTAGCTTGCTTGCTTGCTTGCTTGCTTGCTTTCTTCCTTCCTTCCTTCCTTTCTTTCTTTCTTTCTTTCTTTCTTAGACTTCATCTATTACTATGCAGAATAATGGCTTTATGACGTAGCTAGGCATGGACACAGAAATCTAAATAACTGAAAGAACAAAATTCACACTTTTGGTCTCTGGTTGTCTGGTGTTGTGGATGTACTTTAATCCAATCAATGCACAGAATATATGCTTCCTCAAAACTATGTAATCCGTTTTTGTTTGTTGCTGCTCGTTGAGCATTTAAAAAGAAATGAGTAGCCTTGTGATGAGTAACTTTAAAAAAAAATTTTTTTTAAGATTCATTTTATTTATTTATTTTTCTATTTTAGAAATAGATTTTACAGAGAGAAGGAGAGACAGAAAGATTTTCCATTCACTGGTTCACTCCCCAGATGGCTGCAATGGCCGAAGCTTAGCTGATCCCAGCGGGAGGCAGGCGTCTCCTCTGGGTGGCTTCATGGCCCAAGGACTTAGGACATCCTCTGCTGCCCATCAAGGCCATAAGCAGGGTGCTGATTATGAGGAGTAACAGCCAGGTCTAGAACCAGCGCCCATATGGGATGGTGGCACTGCAAGTCCAAGGATTAGCATTTTGAGCCCCTGTGCCAGCCCCAAGAGTAGCATCTTTGAAAGGAGGTTTTCTTTACAGGAAATCTGAATCTGTTTCCTGTAACCTTCTCTGTCCTTAAAAAAAAAAAAAAGTCCTATGGAATTAGTGGGAAGCAACAGACTAAGCTAGTACGTGTGATAGTCCCATCCTGTGTGGGTACTGATTTGTGTCCAGCCTGCACCGTTTCCAACCCAGTTCGCTACTAATGAGCCTGGGGACACAGCAGAAGATGGCCCAAGTGCTTGCACCCCTGCACCCATGCAGAAGAGTTGACCAGGCTCCTGTGTTGGGCCCGGCTCAGCCCTATCCATTGTGTCTATTTGGAGAATGAAACAGCAGGTGGAAGATACTTCTCTCATCTCAATGTGCCTGTCCCACCTGTCTGTCCTTGTTTCTCTGTTAACTCTGCCTTTCAATAGACGCATAAATATTAAGAGTAAATAAATATATATGTGTGTATACATACACACATATATGCATATTTATTTCAAATACACTTTAAAAGTAAATATAAATATTTGTGAAGCAAAGAGAGATGGACAAGTACAGAGCCTGCCCACCCATTGATGCACTTTCCAAATGTTCATAACAGCAGAGCCTGGGCCATGCTAAAGCTGGGACAGAGGAACGCAGTCTAAATTCCTCATAGGAATAGCAGGAATTCCACCCAGTCTCTCAAAGTCTGATTCACCATGTCTCTGCAGTCAGGAGGCAGAACTCAGTACTGAGCCCGAGTACTGTGGCATAGATCTAGCTACCTTAAGTGTGAGTCTAAATTAGATGATTGAAGATTGATTGAAGATTTCACAATCCAACTGTGCAGTTTACCTGAACTTGCACATGACAATTCTAAAAGGAATGATAAGAATTCCACATTTCAGTTTTCCTCAGTGATAGAGGGGGTGGGGAATCACATGTCAGTCATTAGACATTGTCTTTTGAATCTTTCCTCTTTGCGGATTCTCAGAGTGCCTCCCAGTTATGGTGCGTGACATAAAAAGGAGGCTAGCTGTAGCCATCACCTGTCAGTCACAGGATTAAGCGTGACCACAGCACAGGACCCTGAGTGTGATGATTTCTTGACAATGAATACAAACTAGAAAAAAAGTTTCTGTATTAAAAATGTCCAAGCATGCCTGTTTTTCTATACATACTAATATTTTAGTTTAGCAGATCACAGAGAGATGTGAATACAGTTTAGATAACCAGAGAAATTAGAAAAATTTTCATCCGCCCAGTCCCACTCCTCTCCACCATCCTCTGTCTGTTAAACAAAACAAAAAACAGACAAGCAAATGCTATGATCAAAGCTGGAGTCATTCAGGGATGCGATATTATGCTACGTAGATGGAAAAAAAAAAAAAACACCTGGTTGGGAGTCTGGGAGATTAAGCACAAAAAAACCTGAAAGATGGAAGCGAGCAGAGGCTTGGAACTGGATCAACATGGTGTTAGAGCCAATGCATTAATTAGTAAAGCATTAATAGCAAAAATAGAAGTTGTTTCTTTTGCAAAAAAACAAAACAAAAAAAAACTTCCAAGTGTCAGAAACAATGTCATATTGAAACAAATTCTAAATCAGCAATAATCAGTATTTGCTGAGTAGAAAATAGAAAGTGCCACGGGGACGGAGGGGGACACACATCTGCTTTACAGTTCAGATGCTAAACTGTGTGATGATGGTTGATATCTTTCTTATTTGTGCTGCTTCTTCATTAAGAAACTATGAAAGTCATGTGTGCTCATACTGAATTCTACCAAACCTCCCCAACACCTTTCAGGAACATTGGAATTTGTTGTAAAATGTATTCCATATGCTACTTGGAAAAATCCAAACTGCCTGGTTAATTCTCAGTGAACAAATATAAAAACATATTTAGTTTATAATTGGGCATGAGTGTAAACAAGCATTTGATAAATAAACATACACATAAGGACTCATTATTGTAAATGAGGTTATTTATAGATCCATTCATTTATGTAGCTTTTCAGGCAGTCAGTTTGTCAACCTAGAATTACTGAGTTCCTTCTCAATAGTAGGCCCTGCTCTAGATTGGAGGGACTTTCTGAGTAGGAGAAAGGGCACAACTTAATGATAGCTAAGTGTAAACTCTCTTACTGAAATTATTAAAGAGCATCTTGAGAGACATCTTGAAAGATAAAATACGCAAAAAAATATTTTGTACATTGAAAAATTACGGTCGATCTAAAAGGATAAAGAAGGAAGAAGAAGATGGTAACCATTGGGAATTTCAAATCAACTTAAATAGAGCTGTATATGTGCATTTGTTTTTGTGTGAAATGTTTAGCAATATTTTAAAGGCAGGGTCATGGAAAGAACTGGCATTGCGACATCGTGTGTGAAGTCGCTGCCTGCAGTGGGTACTGGTTCCAAGTCCTTGCTCCTCCACTGTGATCCAGCTCCATGACAATGGCTTGGGAGAACTAACAGAAGACAGCCCAAGTGTTTGGGATCCTGTCAACCACATGAGAGACTAAGATGTACCTTTTGGCTCTTAGCTTTGGCCTAACTCGGCACTTGCCATGTGGCTGCCTAGGGAGTGAACCAGTGTGTGAAAGAGTCTCCACCACCCATTTTCATTCTCTCTCCGTAACTCAAACATCTAAATAAATACAAGCTTTCTAAAAAAACATAGGATCATATGCATGGATCACGTTTAACTTGGTTGGTTTAAAGAATGATGCCAGTCTTTTAGTTTGTACATTGTTTTTAGCGGTGTCTCTTGCTACTGCATGTTATTTATTTTATATGAAGCCTTCACCATTAAACATGTTGAGTATGTCACTATTTAAAAGACACATAATTTTAGCTAGCCCGCCTTTGCTAGTGTATCTACATGATGCCATTTTTGTTGATGCTGCAACGTAGTTTGACAAGAGATTTGTGATGTTTATATGGCTTTATCATTTTTCCCCTAAGGTGTTATTAGAACAGCTTTGCCAAACATGGACAGAGAAGTCAAGGAGCAATACCAAGTCCTTATCCAAGCCAAGGACATGGGAGGCCAGTTAGGAGGCTTAGCCGGAACCACGGTGGTCAACATCACCCTCACTGACGTCAATGACAATCCTCCTCGCTTCCCCAAAAGTATGTCCTCTTTCCTCTTCACTCTGCATTAGTGCAGTGCTTTGCATTATTGATGTTGTCATTGATTGTTCGGTTTCTATTCAGGTTGTGTGTCTCCTCTTTTACAGCATCATTAAATGCTATAGGAATTTAAATCATTTTCCCCAAACTTTTTGATCTTCAGGAAGCTAATGAATAAAAGTTCCCAATTTTCAGAATTTAAATATCTCAAGCAATATCAGTCACAGTGTTAATATAACATAAAATTAGGAAATAACAATTGAACGGTTTTAAAATTTTGTTTCCTATTATGTGTGCTGTGTAAAATATGTTGAGATTTTACTCTGAAATATTACTGAAAGCAATGCTATGATGTCATCCAAAAGCCCATGTTTCTACTGTCTGTGCCACTGTATTATTTGTTACAAGGTTAGCATGAGAATTCTGTCCCTGCTAGTTAGCAATTTATATGTATTAAACCATTTTCATATGACCTTGCAAAAAATCTCAAATAATATTCATGCTATTTACATTCTTTTAGTTCTGAAACCTTTTTCATTTGAGTTTTGTGGTAGCTGAAAATTGCTGGAGTTTGTATGATAATGGAATGATTCACACCTATATCTTCTTTGTAACTCCATGTTTCTTATTGAAAATGAGTGTTTCTCACTTCTGCTGCTTCTAGCTTCCTTCTGCAGTGTTCCATTTAACACCAATCAGTACCTATTTGCTTCCTGGTGGATTTTCAAGGATTAATCCAACCATTTTAGGATTTATGCTGTGGGACAGAAATGTTTCTGTTATTGATTTCTTAAAGAATCAAGGTTAAATAGCAAGGACTCATTTGCATGCACAGTTTGTAAACACAGAACACTATTATTCTTCTCACTCCAGAGGAGCATTTATGATTTCATCTGCACCTGCCAGTATTTACCTGAATGGGCACATTATCCCTTTGACTGTGTTATATGTTACTGCATATACTACTACTGGATCACTTTTTTCTTACAATCATCAACATATATTTTCCTTTACAAAAAGGCTTTTACTTGGTAATCCAGAAAGTTCTATGGCTAAATCTTATAAGAGTAGCAATTAAAAACAATGCCCTTTAAAACACATGTCAATTAGCTTAAGATAATAACACATATTTTAAAACATATTGCACATGGTAAAGATACTCAGGTTCTATTTTTAACTTGAGATTAACTTATTAAATGAGTAGCAAATCATCATATTCAGCTGTGAAAAATGTTTAACTATGGCTGCTAAAATACTGATAAGACATAGGATTTTAGAATAATGCTTTGCAAATAAGGGAAAAACAAAAGCTACATATGTGAATAGGTGTTAAAATAAATATTTGTGCTATCTGTACAAGAAGACGCAAACATGTGTTTTATTATGTGGCATATTGTATTATTATTATTAAGCAGTATGGCCTATTGTTCCCTTCCCTTCCCAGCCTCCCCCTTCTCTCCTCTTCTCTTCCCTTCCCACGTCTTCCCTCCCCTTCCGTCTCTCTCTCCCTCTCTTGCTCACTGATGCTCTTGTTCTTTACTGCTTTTCTTCCTCTTACTCTGGCTACATCCTTCCTGCTCTCCCTTCCTTTCTTTATTTCTTTTTTTTTTCTTTCTTGTTGTTTACAGGTAACAACCTATAATAGCTGGTTGACGATACAGTTAGGGAGATTATTGTGTGTAAAAATAATGCTAATATTGTGAACCCTCAGGTATTATGTTGGGTCATATGCGTATATAATGTGCGCAATCCAAAGTGTAGGAATGGCAAATACATTCCCGGATAATGTCATTATTCTTATGTACACAGATTTTCGGGGAACTGTTCGAATCAGAGACACAAATGCACAGCCAATGGAAAGCTAATGGCCTTGTGGGTGTGGATCAAGTGTGCTTTCTAGACATTGGGAAAGGGGCCTAGTCACATGCTGGACCGAGACGTAACCAAGTCTCTGCTGAAAGAGAAGCAGCGCTACTCCAGGAGTCAGGGTGCTGCCAGTGAAATGTGACATCTTACGGTCAGATCTAGTGAAAAGGGAACAGGATGAAGCAGAGGGCTTATCTAGAATTGACAGAAGTTGGAATCTATAGGGAGGACAGTGCCTACATGAGATCCATTTGGAAAAAATGTGGGTGTGCATGCATCAGAAACTTAAAGCATTCACAGAGTGTGGGCACGTGGTGCTCGTCACCTTAGGTTTCATGCTTCACTAGTGAGAAAACTGCAACTCACACAGCGCGCTAGCTTCGCTACAACTCAGTGCTAGTTTTGCTTTGTTTTCTTTTTAAACTCCGGTGTTCAGATGCCTTCTAGTTTCACATAACACTAAAATGAAGCATTATTGTTTTCTCCTCTATGTCGCTCTAAAACCACACTTGTTCAGAACATCTCTGCAAAGGCAACTCCCTGAGTTGGATTGTTACCACTCATAGAGAAGTCAGTGGGTAGCAGGAATCTGTCAGGATCAAGTTGCCTGGTACTTGTATTACATGTACGATTGAATGATGTTACAAAGCCTAAAGCAAGTAGGAGATATTTTGGAATGTGTGACAAAAGAATTCTTCATATTTTTCATGAGTAAAACATTAATCTACCTGAAACTTCATATATCTTTGCGTCAAGCGCTTTTCCCTGAGCCATCATTTTGAATTACAGATTTAGAACTGCGCAATATTAAAGAGAATAATTTATACTTAGATGTTGATAATTGCAATGAGAAGAGGAATTAGAGGAAAAGTTAAGAAACACAGTGCGTTCTCTTTCTGCGTGGGTTCAAAGGCAGACGTTACTGTACATGCAGAGCGCCATCCCTCTTGCAGCCTCCTGAAGTCAGCCGAGGCTTTCTTCTGTTGCAGCTTCCATGAAGTTTGTGAACTCAGCTTAGTCAGTGCTTAGCTGCAACTTGTATCCATTAGTGTACCTGCAGTTCGGCAGTTTCAATAATTCACATTTTAGAAGGGCTTATTTGTTAATGCAGTATTTTCTTTGATTGGGACTTTGAGCCATAGCAACGAAACGAAGTGAATCGGACACATCAGATGAGGAGCTGTATTTTCGGCCAGTGACATCATCACCTACGTGGTTCTTCTTGGACCTGATTCTCCCTCATCTGCAGCTTACTCCTTGGCTCTTGCAGGTCATCAGAACAGATGTAGCAATTACGTATCTATTCTTACCCCTGTTCAGTCTCACAGAATAATCCTAAACGGACTGTAGAGTGAGAGATATCATATCACAGATTGGCAAAAAAAGAAAATTAAGGCTTAGTAAAGTCTCTTATTCCAGTGCAATTATTATTTGCAGGCATGACTGGCCGAAAAGTATACTGTTATATAATCCTCATCTTTCTGTGAGGATAACATTCATCAGCCGAGGGAAAGCGTTTAAGAATGAATCTGTAAAATAATATGAAGGGCTTTGAATGCCATGGAAAATGTGCAATTTTTTGAGGTATAGACTGTTCAAAATTGCATCAAAATGAACATCATTTTAAGCACGGATATTCTCACAGCCATTTTAATTTCCATCACACAAATATTTGTTACAATTTTGTATTCCACTTAAGGTATAACCTGTATTTAAATATTTCTTCTTTTCCTTCACATTGTCAAATGTGAATTTTTTAAGAAGTTTATAAATCTCCATGCAAAATTGTTCACCATGACAGAGGAAAATGGAGCTTCTGCGTGGGAGTGATAGAAATGACTCCATCTGCATTTTCAGTGTGACATGAAAAAGATATTTCTAGTATGGGGAAAGTGAATGATGTGAGAAAGCCAATTAGCAGACATCTGCAGTGGTACTAAGTAGGTATGTGATGATGATGGCTATGATGGCTTTACGACATGGTAATATGGAGATATATTTGTTTTGGTTTAAGAGGAAAAATACAAGTAATAGTGAAGGGATCTTTGTCTACTGAGCTGGAGAAACAGACCCCCGCTTGTAGAGTCATTGAAAATCTTTTGAGGGAATGGCAAGCCTACAAGATCAGTTCTGATAAGTTTGTATTGAGATACCTTGAAGAGATCTAAGTGGAATTTTGGATACAAAACTCAAAAATCCCACGTTTTCTGAAGTTAAGATGCAAAGCATGGGTAGCAGGAAGATCGTAAGTTAAGGATGCAGATGAAAGCGCCTGAGGTGAGTTTAGTTACGGATAACCTCAGAAAAGCAGCTCTTGACCATGATTGTGTAATACAACGAGAGAGTTTAATACATCCTTTGGTCAGGTCTGACCTCAGAACAGCTAAAAATGACAACTCAGTTGCAAAGCTTCTTTCCACATGTTGTGCAAATGCGTACAGGGATCACTGACCTAGATCTTCGATGACATCAGGGAAGGAATGGAACGGGTGAAGCCGGGGAGGACATTGCAGCGCGTCAGCAACGTGACCTGGAGGAAGGGGCAGGAACAGTGTTCGCCGATGCTGACAATCACTAGACCTACAGACACGGAGGTTACAGCAACGACAACAAGGTTTAATACGGTGGTGGGCTCAGACCCCAGGTGAAAACTGCCTGTGGAATGTCTGACAGAGATGCTCTTGGAGCCTTTTCCGTGGGAAGGTATTGGCCAGTGATAAGTCAGCAGCACCCACTGCTGCCAAACAGAATCACCAGGTGCTGCCTCTACTGACCCAACATCGAGTTCAATAAGCCAGAGCCTAGGATTGCATATGACAAGATTGGACAGAACTGTGAAGCTCCTTTGGAACACTGATGCTACTTTGCTATTTTATTGTATTTTGTGATTACTTAAACTTGATTTTTTCCAATTTAGTAAAAGTACAAATAAAGCAAGCATAATATATTTATATTTCCTTCTCACAATTTCATGGAAGATTTTTTAATCAGAATATTATAGTTGAATCACACATAGATAATCATAATTGTTGGAAACCAGTAGCTAGTCTAGTATCCAGAGAAATATTCAAAAACACTATTCGTTATCTGTACTGATTTTTTAATTGAGTTTGCATGCTTAGGACTGGAAATGA